GGTTTGATACGCTGGCTTGTACGTAGAGAACAGCAGGGAAAGAAATTATGGCGAGTAAACGCACGATCAATCGCACGGTAGAACTTATGCTGACCATGTTCGGTGTCTGGCCAGGTATACCATGTGTAATACTCTACAGTTGGATGATTACGCTAGCAATTAATCAATTCTTACACTATCAGTACTTTGTAATGCATTTTAATTTCAACAATCTTTTCGACTTGATGGACTGTTTAAGTAGTTTCTTGGCGCACATGAAACTGACCGCTATGCTCATTATCTCTTCGCTAAAGCAGCGGTAAGGGACACCTAACAAGTTAAACAGTAAAAATTTCGTAGAGAGAAAAAAAATATAGCATTGCGAAAATGTGTTGCGACTATCTCGAAATATTCGATCGTTTGTAGAAAATTTATCGAAATCTTGACAATGATGGCGGAAGACTGGAACGATTGCGATAATACTGGCGTTGCGTTGCGCGAAACGGCAAGCAAAGCAAAACTATCGAGTCGTATTTGTAATGGATTAATTATTCTTCATACATTCGCCGGGCTTGCATACGCCATTGGCATCCTCCTCGCCGATGCCGACGTCACCGATCGAACGGCTGAACTGCCTCTCATGATGAAAATGGAATATCCCTTCGTCATAGACACGCAACGCAAGTACAGTCTGGTATTAGCTACGCAATTCATTTTCGTGATGGCGTGCAGTTGGGGAACCGGTTTATTCAACGCTTTGCTTCTAACTCTGGTAACCTGCACCTACATAAGCAAGTATCATAAGCAAAATATAATTATATTCATAATTAATACTCCACCATAAATTATCCGTATAAATATTAGGCGGTAAAGTCGAGAAAAATTAAATCTCTCTTTCAGACTCAATTCGCTCACGTACATTTAATTACATTCATTTTTTAATAACATCTTTAAAAGTAAAATGAATAATTGTTATAAATGACACAATTCTTATTCGTAGACTCTACACGTGGTCAGTCAAATAAACACCCTGCTTTGCTGGTTAACGGAAGTTGGATCTAACGAAATCGGAAAAACGAATGATTCATTCGTCACAGCCATGTCGAAAATTATTCGGAAACATCAAAAAATTATTAATCTTTCGGAGAACATTGAAAATCTCTTTTCATACATAGCTTTGTTGCAATTCACATCGAATACGGTGATAATTTGCTCATTGGGATTTCTCATTGTAACCGTGAGTAAACTGATTAAAATTTCAAATACAAAAATACGCATTCCACTTTGCACCAGTTCAATGGCATTAGTTAATTTTTAACATACATTGATCTATCTGTCGTATTAATTTATTATGCTCATATAAATCACTATTTATAATTCGCTATGCGTCAACGTATTTACTTCCATTCTGTTTCAACATTGCAGGCAATGGGCAGCCCAGACGCCACTGAACAAATAATAAAGTCTCTTTTATTTTACACTCTAACGAATCTCGAAGCGTTTATATTTTGCTTTGCTGGAGAATATCTGAGCAATAAGGTTAGCAACGGAAAATTATTGTGATAGCAATAATGGAAACATATCGAGAATCTTGCGCGTATAGTATTAAGACTGATATTATAAAGACAGAAATATTATCGAAGTTTTATTTTTATCATTTCTATCTTCACAGAGCAAAGCAATCGGCAATGCGGCATACAATTTTGCTTGGTACGACATAAAAGCTAAAGATAGTTGCGTTTTATTATTTATAATTTTAAGATCGCAGAAGCAATTGAAGCTTACAGCGGGCAAGATGTCGGTTCTCTCCTTAGAGTACTTCACAAATGTAAGATACGTAGAGGAAAATCCCCTGTTATGAGATAAGCTCCTAGTATCATCTATTGGACTAGTGAATTTAATGCCTTTGAAGTGAAATCTGTTTAGTGGAAAATTCATTGTTAGGTCGCGTAAACGTTGCGAATAAAGATTTGTGATTAAATCTTCATGTTAAAAATCTGCTATCTCATATTAGAAGCCTATCTCACAATAAAAGACTTTCCTCTAATAATCATT